GTTCTTTGGATTTTCCCACACTGTGTAATTTGACTTATAACACTCTGGTTACTTAATCCACCAATCAGTGTTCTGTGTCATTTTACACAGCGTGGGAAAGTTCTTTGGAATTTTCCCACGCTGTGTAAAATGACACAGAGCACTCTGATTGGTGGATTAAGTAAGAGTGTTATGAGTCAAATTACACAGCGTGGGGGGATTTTTATTTATGGCCCCCAGCCACCGCTCAGGGGTGGGGGCCGGGGGGGAGGACAGTAGGTCCCCCGCTCTTATTGTTATTTAGGGCCGCCGCACAGGGGTGGGGGCTGGGTGGGAGGACATTAGGTCCCCCGCTATTTAGGGCCCCCACCCACCACGCAGGGGGGAGGACATTAGGTCCCCCCCAATTTTTATTTATGGCCCCCACCCACCACTCAGGGGTGGGGGTCGGGGGGGGTAAAGGACAGTATGTCCCCCCCTTATTGTTACTTAGGTTTTTTTTGTTTTTTTTACAGTGAGCAGCCACTGGCTGCTCACTGTTTACTATTTATTTATTTATTTATTTATAAAATATTTTACCAGGAAAGATACATTGAGATTTCAAGTATGTCCTGGGTCACAAATCATTGCATTGTTACATTAGGTACAACAAAATACAAAAACAATATTAATACACAATATATACAAAATTTAACATAGAACAGGCAGGAAATATATAATCAACCATGACATGTGCATTCTGTTTTGAGGTATGTAGAGAGGGATCTCTTAAATGACTTTAGGCTTAGGGAAGATTTTAAATTGTGCGGGAGGTCGTTCCACAATTGCGGCGCTCTGTAGGAGAAGGAGGATCGGGCCGCTTTCTTTTTGTATTGAGGTAGACTAAGTAAAGTGCTTGTACTGGATCGGAGCTTATAGAAAGTGGGAACAGCTGGGGAAAGCATTTTGTTCAGGTAGGGTGGGAGTTTCCCAGAAAAGCTCTTAAAAACAAGGCTGGAAAGATGAAGGGTGCGTCTGGATTCCAGCGACAGCCAGTTTAGTTCCTTTAGCATGTCACAATGATGGGTCCTGTAATTACATTGTAGCACAAATCGGCAGAACGAGTTATACAATGTGTTGAGTTTATTAATGTGGGATCGCGATGCAGACGCATATACTACATCCCCATAATCAATGATTGGCATCAGCATTTGCTGTACAATCTTTTCCTTTACTGTAGGGCTTAGGCAGGCTTTGTTTCTGTACAGGGCACCTAATTTTGGATAAAGTTTAGATGCAAGCTTTTCTATGTGCAGGCCAAAAGATAGATTGGGGTCTAATATCATACCCAAGTATTTGAAAGAGTGGACTGCGGTCAGTGTGCCATTTGAATTTGTTTTGATGGATAGGTGGGGATTGTGTAATTTGTGTAATTTAGGTACTGTTCCAAAGATCATTGTGACAGTTTTGTCAGTGTTCAGGAAGAGTTTGTTTTTTGCGATCCATTTTTCTACCTCTGTAAACTGGTCTTGGAGCAAAGCCTCAAGTTGCGGTAGATCGGGTTTGCTCGCATAGATTACCGTGTCATCTGCGTACATGTGTACATTTGAGGGTTGGCAGACATTAGGCAGATCATTTATAAATAATGTAAATAGTAGGGGGCCGAGAATGGAACCCTGGGGAACACCACACGTGACCGGGAGAGGGAGGGAGTCACTGTCAGAAATGGATACATATTGCGAGCGATCCGATACATACGATCGAAACCAGTTTAAAGAATGATCACCAATACCTGAGTTTTCGAGTTTGTGCAGTAGAATGTCGTGGTCTACTGTGTCAAAGGCCTTAGCAAAATCAAGGAAAATAGCTCCAGTTAGGGCTCCTTGTTCCATGCCAGTTTGGATGTCATTGCAAACTTTTAGGAGGGCAGTTGTAGTGGAGTGATTCTGGCGAAAGCCCGATTGATCAGGGGTCAGATAGTTTAATTGTTGGTAGTACTCACAAAGTTGCGTATGGACACATTTTTCTAAGATTTTTGACAATACCGGGAGCAATGATATTGGGCGATAGTTAGAAACCAAAGTAGTGTCACCACTTTTATGGATAGGCACTACTCTTGCAGTCTTCCAAAGTTTGGGTATGTATCCAGACACCAAGGATTCGTTAATTAGAGTTGAGACGGGTTTAGCAATTGCCGGCGCACTGAGCTTCAACAGCATTGCTGGGATTTGATCAGGTCCGGACTGGTTTTTCATGTTTAGATTATTAAGATGTTTTTTAATGACACTAACAGGTACAGGTCTAAAATTAAACTTATCTATATTGGGCCTTTGCAAATTTAGTGGGGCCTGATCCACATTTGTAGTTTCAGGATGCGTGTCATTTATTAGCTTGGCAATCAGGGCAGTAGAGCATCCGACAAAATAATTGTTAAAGGCATTTGCAACATCTAAGGGAAGTTGCAGTGTTTGGTTACCCACTTTGACATTGGAGGGTTGGGAGTGGATTGGGGGAGTTTGTAGTTTATTTATGACTTTCCAAAAGTTTCTAGGGTTTGAGATGTTACTGTTCAGATTTTCATAGAAATATTGAGCCTTGGCTAGTTTTGTCTGTTTTGTGCATATATTTCGCCATTGTCTATATGCACCGTGATCATTCATAGAGCCAGTACGCTTAAACTTTGACCACAAAGAATCCCGAAACTGGTACATTTGGATGAGATCAGCTGTGATCCAGTTCATGTGCGCTCCTTTTACCCTCACCTTACGCAGCGGGGCATGCAAATTCCAAATTTGTAGGAGTTCAGACTGAAAGTATTCAACAGCACAGTCTAGATCTGGGATAATGTTTAATCTGTGCCATGAGAGATTCTTGATGTCATTTAAAAAGGATTCAAGATTAAATTTTTTGAAGGACCTAGTTATTTTAACCTTGGGAGAGGATTTAATAGCCTTTATTTTGCGCACGCAGTACACTAAACAGTGATCACTGAACGTGTTGGGGAGAACACCAACCTCCTGGATTCTATCAGGAGAAGTGGAGAGAATCCAATCTAGCAGGGTATGTTTATGGCTTTTAATGTTTATGCGAGTTGGGGAGGAGATTAATTGCGTTAGCTGCAAAGTCTTAAACAGCGTGCAAGAACTATTATTTTTAGGGTTCAGCCAATCAATATTAAAATCTCCAAAGACCAACAGTTCACTTTTTGGGTTTTGAGCTATGGTTTCACTAAGGAGATGGGCTATGTCAGAAAGGGAATGCACTGGGGAGCTAGGTGGGCGGTAGATTCCTGCAACAATGATTGATTTACTGCATGGGATCTCAATTGTGCCAGAAAGGAAATCAAAGATGGCAGGAGGACTAAGGTTTTGTAAAGGGGTAAACTTTATGGAATTGTCAACATAAATAACAATGCCTCCTCCTCTCTTTGCCCTGTCATTTCTAAAACATGAATAACCCTGTATTGCAATGGCGGTGTCTGGTATTTTAGCCGTTAACCATGATTCTGAGAGCACAATGATTTTTGGTTTGTAATGGGAACACCAGGCTTGCAGTGCGTCCAGAGGGAGTAAACTACAGATGTTGCAGTGCACAAAAGAGAGGCCTTTTTTAGTGGGGAGATTAGGACTAGAATTAGCTGGGGGACCAGGGTTAGACTCCACATCATTTGCAAGGGCAAGTAACATAAGGAGTAGGAATTTGGACATCATCTTTGTTTGGCCATATAGTGAATGGGATAATTTATAATTTTGTGAGTTGGGGGTAGGAGGGCTATTTTTTAAAACTCTCCACCAGCACTCAGCAGATAAGTTAAAGGAACAGAGCAGGCCATGGTGTATTATAATTTGTGTTCCAGTTTGAGGTGTGTGCTTATGCTGGTAGTGGTGTGAACAAAATTGGATTGAGAAAAGGGTTATTAAGAATAACAGTATGGTTATATTAGGATTCATGTTAGTGGTATAAGGTGTGTAGTTGAAAATGAAACAGAAATTGTGAGAATAAAAATAAATGTTAATAGAAGTATATGGTTTTGGTGTGTGATATCTATTTGTAGTGAGAGAGGGTATGTGTTCTATAGGGTTAAGGGATTGAAAGGGTGTGCTGATCAGTGGTTGCACCTGTCATTTCAGTAGATTGAAAGTTGTGCGGGAGACTATCTATAAATGAGAAAATGACCATGGGGTGGGTGGGCGAGGGGTAGGGTGGGAGGGAAAAGTCAGTCTTCCAGAAGACACGACTAGACACGACCCTACTCGCGGTATAGCGAGTAGGGACTGAATTTACTAATACTAAGTAATCTTTACTTAGTATTAGTAAATGTGGCTGAAAGACCAATTTAGGTGACCAATTTAGGTCTTTTAGCCTTTTGGTAGATAGCTTCCTAATACCATGGGAATTAGGGAGTTATCTATTAAGCGGCTGCTTATTTTATGTTATTTTCCTATCCACATTTGTTTGCAGGGCACTTGTCCTACTCTTACCCCCATTTTACTTCCTTTTGCAGCCCTCTAGCCCTTTACAGGAGTTTTTTAGAGCAATTTTTGTGGCCAAAAGTTCGAGTCCCCGTTGACTTCAATGGGGTTCGGGTTAGGGGTCAAGTTCGAGCCCGAATCCGGACTTTTTTTCAAAGTTTGGCCGAACCCGCCGGACCCGTACATCCAGGTGTCCGCTCAACTATCTATATATCTATATATATATAGATAGTTGAGCGGACACCTGGATGTACGGGTCCGGCGGGTTCGGCCAAACTTTGAAAAAAAGTATATATATATGTGTGTGTGTGTACTTTTGGATATATACACATATCTCAAAATATACTTATATAATGCATATATATGATTTATATGTATAATATATTATAAAATGCTATAATTATAATATACATATATAGGAAAAAAATGGGTGTGTGTAAAAAAAGAGGGGAAATTTTGTCTACTCTTACAAATGATGTCATTGGTAAAATGGCAGTTTATGTGTGAAAAATGCAAAAAAAAAGCTAATATAAAAGCTAATTATGGCCAGGGTTTGTGACTAAGTGGCTACTAAAAAAAGACTGGACATACCCCATTTTGAATACTGTGGGTTGTCTACTTTTACAATTGGTATGCCATGATGGGGTTAATTTTCATTCCTGGGCTGCCATATGGTGTCAAAGACAACATAGGGCCAGCAAACCAATCTGGCAAATTTCAATGTTCAAAAATGGAAAAGGGGAAAGCCCTACATTTGACCCCTGTAAGTTTGCAAAAACCCATAAAACCTGTACATTGGGGGCACTGTTGTACTCAGGAGATGTTGCTGAACACATATTGGGGTGTTCTTTGTCATAATACATGACAGGAACTGAGAATCCACGCCTAAAGTACAATGTGAGAGAAAAATAACACAAAAAAATGACTACCCAAAGGTTTGACAAAGACTGGTGGTAGAAGTGCACGGAAGGGGTTAAAATACCACCATTTTAAATACCTGACAAGGTCTACTTTTCAAAAATATATGGTTTGATGGGGATAAATTACATTGGCCGGCTTCAAAAATGTCCCAAATAGGATATGGGTGCATGATGACCAACTGTGAAAATTCCAAGTTGGAAAATGGGAATGCGCACTCTCCAAATAGGGTCTTTTAGCCCCCCAGAGAACCCAACACACCTATACATGGGTGGTATACCTGTACTCAGGAGATGTTGCTGAACACATATCGGGGGGGTTCTTTGGCAGTAACCCTTAAAGTTCTCAGTACATGTATTTTTAAATTGCTATGTGTGTCACAACAAATCACTAATTATTAAAAAAAATTTAAAAATTTTTTTAGCATACATTGGTGGTAAAATGGTTGTATAAAAAGAGTAAAAATACCCCAAGTTTAATACCTTAGGTTCGTCTTTTTAAAAAAAAAAAATATGTACATGTGGAGGGTTATTCAGGGATTCCTGACAGATATCAGTATTACAATGTAACTTGCGTTAATTTTGAAAAAAAAAAAATGGTTTGAAAATAGCAAAGTGCTACTTGTACTTATAGACCTATAACTTTCCACAAAAAAAAGCAACGAACGTGTTAACATTGGGCATTTGTAAACTCAGGACAAAATTTAGAAACTATTTATCATGGGTGTTTTTTGGATGTCGTAGATGTGCTACAGATTTTGGGGGTCAATGTTCGAAAGTGTTTTTTTTTTTTTAAACCCCTTAAGGACTGGACCTTTTTTGCGATGTTGTACATTTGCGACCAGGCATATTTTTACACTTTTGTGGTGTTTGTGTTTGGCTGTAATTTTCCGCTTTCTCATTTACTGTTCCCATACAAATTATATATTGTTTTTTTCAGGACAAAAGGGGCTTTCTTTACATACCATTATTTATATAAACTCATGTATTTTAATTTAAAAAAAATAAAAAAATATGATGAAAAATTGAAAAAAATACATGTTTTTTTACTTTTACTTGAAAAATCTTTTACTCATCTATAAAAGCGAATGAAAAAAACTGCTAAATAGATTCAAAATTTTGTCCTGAGTTTAAAAATACCCTGTGTTTACATGCTTTTTTGCTTTTTTTTGCAAGTTATAGGGCTATAGGTACAAGTAGAATATTGCGGTTTCAAAACATAAATTTTTTAAATTTATCAATAGTGACATTGTAACACTATTATCTGTCATAAATCTCTGAATAACACCCCACATGTACATATTTTTTTTAAAGTAGACAAACCAGGGTATTCAATATGGGGTATGTCCAGTCCTTTTTAGTAGCCACTTAGTCGAAAATACTGGCCAAAGTAAGCATTCATATTTGTTTGTGTGTGAAAAAAGTAAAAACTAGGGTGAGCGCTGGTACGGCCGGTGTTTTTATGACCAAGTGGTTACTAAAAAAGACTGGACATACCCATTTGCAATACCTTGGGTTGTCTTCTTTTGCAAATGGTATGCCATCATGGGGGTAATTCTCATTCCTGGGCTACCATACGCTCTCAAAGGCAACGTAACCAACCTGGCCATTTCAATGTAAAAATATTTGACCCATATATTTGACCTTGTAACTTTCAAAAATGCTATAAAACCTGTACATGGGGGGTACTGTTTTACTCGGGAGACATCGCTGAACACAAATATTAGTGTTTAAAAACTGGAAAACGTATCACAACAATTATATCAGTAAAAGTGCTGTTTGTGTGTGAAAAATGCAAAAAAAGTAACTTTCACTGACAATATCATCACTGTGATATGTTTTACTGTTTTGAATCACTAATATTTGTGTTCAGCGAAGTCTCCCGAGTAAAACAGTACCCCCCATGTACAGGTTTTAGGGTGTCGTAGAACGTTACAGGGTAAAATACAGTGCTAGCAAATTAAATTCTCTGGAATTTCGGCCTGGGTTGGCAGGCAGGTCCCTCAAATTGCAACCAATAAAATTACTGAATTATGTAAAAATATTACATAAATACGCACGTAGAATTTAAATATATATGCATATTTATATATTTGAAGTCTACGTGTATATTTATATAATTATTTATGTAATTTTGTATATGGACATATGTATATTTCGTATTATTTTTATTTATTTATATATAAATAGATATATATACAAATTCATTCTAAGTGTATTTTGATATAAATATATATATATATTTTAAAATACAGTTAGAATAAAATTTCATATAGATATATAATTTTTTTAAATTTTTTATTTTAAAAAAATGATTTAATTTAAATTACTTATTTATATTTTATAATAATATATATATACAATATATATAGTTATTATATATATATATATACGTGTGTAATTTAATTATAAGTGTATTTTTATATTAATATAAGTACATATTAATATAAAAATACACTTAGTATGACATTATATATATGATATATAGACATATATTATATAGATATAATATATGTCTATATATCATATATACACATAATTATTTTTATTTTTTTTATTAACACTAACTTTATTTTTTTTTCTGATTTTACACTAGCAGGGAGACTGCCTGTCAGCACAGACAGTCCCCCTGCAGGCAGACACATGGACACTTATTGTGACCATGTGATTGCTGTGTTGAGCCATCACATGGCCACAGGGGTCCTAATTCAGTGTGGGGAGACTGCCTGGGCTGCAGGCAGTCTCCCCACAACCGGAGCCACGCTGATCGCCGCCGGGGGAACGACGGCGATCAGGTAAGTAACTAAGACCGTTAAGACGGTTCAGGACCGTCATCGGTCGGCAAGGCAAAAATGCCGATGACGGTCCTGAACCGTCCTCGGTCGCGAAGGGGTTAATCATATTTTAGATTTTATTTAATAGAAAATTATATGATATGATGAAAATAATGGTATCTTTAGAAAGACCATTTAATGGCGAGAAAAACTGTATATAATATGTGTGGGTACAGTAAATGAGTAAGAGGAAAATTACAGCTAAACACAAACACCGCAGAAATGTAAAAAGAGCCCCGGTCCTTAACGTTTAGAAAATTGAAAAGTGGTCTGGTCACTACGGGGTTGAAGGAACTGTATTGGGAAAGAAATGCATATCCTCACTCCTTAACAGTAAACCTACAGTCACTAAATGTATTTTTTCCCCCTAAATAGTGTAAAAATGGGCATTAGTAGTACCTTTTTAAAAAAATCTTTACTTTTATAAGATTTTATACTCCTCCTCTGTTTGTGTCATTTTCCCTTTGCTTTTTCCATGCTTCCTGTATGTCAGCTGGACTGTCCACCAATGGCCATGCTCCAGTGATTTAGTAATCAGAAAATCCGTAATGACACGCCCACAATGCCTGTCCACCAATGGCCATGCTCCAGTGATTCGCTATGAGAATCAGTAATGACACTCCCACAATGTCTGTCCACCAATTGCCCTGCTCCAGTGATTCTCTATGAGAATCCGTAATGACACACCCACAATGTCTGTCCACCAATGGCCATGCTCCAGTGATTTAGTAATCAGAACATCTGTAATGACACGCCCACAATGCCTGTCCACCAATGGCCATGCTCCAGTGATTCTCTATGAGAATCAGTAATGACACTCCCACAATGCCTGTCCACCAATGGCAATGCTGCAGTGATTCTCTATGAGAATCAGTAATGACACGCCCACAATGTCTGTCCACCAATGGCAATGCTGCAGTGATTCTCTATGAGAATCAGTAATGACACGCCCACAATGTCTGTCCACTAATGGCCATGCCCCAGTGATTCTCTATGAGAATCAGTAATGACACGCCCACAATGTCTGTCCACCAATGGCCATGCCCCAGTGATTCTCTATGAGAATCCGTAATGACACGCCCACAATGTCTGTCCACCAATTGCCATGCTCCAGTGATTCTCTATGAGAATCAGTAATGACACACCCACAATGTCTGTCCACCAATGGCAATGCTCCAGTGATTCTCTATGAGAATCAGTAATGACACGCCCACAATGCCTGTCCACCAATGGCCATGCTCCAGTAATTTAGTAATCAGAGAATCAGTAATGACACGCCCACAATGCCTGTCCACCAATGGCCATGCTCCAGTGATTCTCTATGAGAATCAGTAATGACACACCCACAATGCCTGTCCACCAATGGCCATGCTCCAGTGATTCTCTATGAGAATCAGTAATGACACGCCCACAATGCCTGTCCACCAATGGCAATGCTCCAGTGATTCTCTATGAGAATCAGTAATGACACGCCCACAATGCCTGTCCACCAATGGCCATGCTCCAGGGATTCTCTATCAGAATCAGTAATGACACGCCCACAATGTCTGTCCACCAATGGCCATGCTCCAGTGATTCTCTATGAGAATCAGTAATGACACGCCCACAATGACTGTCCACCAATGGCCATGCTCCAGTAATTTAGTAATCAGAGAATCAGTAATGACACGCCCACAATGCCTGTCCACCAATGGCCATGCTCCAGTGATTCTCTATGAGAATCGGTAATGACACACCCACAATGTCTGTCCACCCATGGCCATGCTCCAGTGATTTAGTAATCAGAACATCTGTAATGACACGCCCACAATGCCTGTCCACCAATGGCCATGCTCCAGTGATTCTCTATGAGAATAAGTAATGACACGCCCACAATGTCTGTCCACCAATGGCCATGCCCCAGTGATTCTCTATGAGAATAAGTAATGACACGCCCACAATGTCTGTCCACCAATGGCCATGCTCCAGTGATTCTCTATGAGAATCAGTAATGACACGCCCACAATGCCTGTCCACCAATGGCCAATGCTCCAGTGATTTAGTAAT